CTTTTTTTATAAAAAAAACCTACGCCACTGTATTTTTTACAATCTATTGTAACGGATTTATATTCTAATGTACAAAATACGTAAAAAAGGTAACGTGAATTTTTTCCCTAAAGTTCACCGTTCTCAAGTTATTCATACGAATACAATCTCCTTGTGGCGGATACTTCTAACCATAATATTACAAGAATATTTATGTTTATGCTTAAAAGTAAGTGCAATTTGTAAGCACATCAACAAAATTCTTTACACTCGTCGCTTTCATCTTTTGGATTAAAACGATATTTGGAAAATCACGACGGCTCAATGAAAGACACAGAAATGAAATTTTAAGAACATTGGGGTGAGTAAATCGAAAATTTGAAAAGTTCTACATAAGGATGGTAGAAATCCGTACTATTTACAACCTGTGCAAAATTTACTTCCGGGAGATGTAGACACACCTGAATTTTTGTTAGTGGTTGTTTTAAAGTCACAACATAATCCAGAATTCTTACTAGAAATACTTTGGACCGATGAGGCTACGTTCACAAGGCGAGGGGTAGTGAATTTTCACAATATTTGGTCACAAGAAAATCCTCGTGAAATTCGGATAAGATCTTTTCAACGAATTTTCTGGCTCGGAATAATTCGGACTTTATTTCTTGTCACCCCATCTAAATTCCCAGCATTTCTAAACTTTCTAGAAAACCATCTATTTGAATTATTAGAGGATGTTCCATTAAATATACCACAAAATAGCTGGATACAAATGGATGGTGCTCCTGCGCATTTTAGGAGAATAATACAATAATGGCTTAAAAATTATATGGGGCGATGGATAGGTTGAAGACCAAATGCCAATGTCAACCATAATGGTGCAGAGAATCCAGTCTCTTGGCCAGCCAAATCGCCAGATCTAAACCCCCTGGACTTCTACGTTTGGGGTTACCTATCTGAAAAGTAAAGTTTACTCTACTCCACCACAACTACTGCAGCGAATAGAAGAGGGGTGTAATGAATTAAAAGAAAACCACCACATGATATTAGTTAGGTAATTCCATTAATCATTAATAGAAATTGTCAGAAATGTATCGATGTGGATGGTTCGCATTTTGAACAATTGCTGCAAATACGTAACGTTAATTTCATTTCTTGTTTAATTGTCGTTGCTTGGTAAATGTATTTTTATTATTATTTTCATTTAAATTGTCCTTATTTGTAAAGATAGTGGATTAAGCCTCCAGGAGAAACTAAAATACACTAGGAACACTACCTCACAGGTGATGTGGAAATAATTTTGTTGATCTGCTTACAAATTGCACTTCCTTTTAAGTATAAACATAAATATTCTTGTAATATTATGGTTTGAAGTGTCTGCCACAAGGGGTTTGTATTTGTATGAATAACTTGAGAACGGTGAATCTTAGGGAAAAATTTCAAGTTACCTTTTTTACGTATTTAGTGCATTAGAATATAAATCCGTTACAATAACTTGCAAAAAATACAGTGGCGTAGTTTTTTTTATAAAAAGAGGGCGGCCCCTGTCCAGTTGTACACCACTGGTTGAACCTTTAGAGCTCATATTTTAGGAAATGTAAGGCTTACTGTCATACATTATCTATACCAAATTTTATTAAGATCGGTTAATAGATTCCGGAGATATAAACAAAAAATCAAATTTTTTTAACAACTTCAACACTCTGTATCTCTAAAACGAGGCCGTTCCAGACCTATGGTTATAGGGCAAACACCTATTATTTTAAAGAGATCTATATGCCCTCGAAGTTTCCTGCATAAAATTCGGACCACCCTGTATATCATTTAAGATCATATGGTGTATTATTGGTAGTAATAATAATCACTGCCTTTAGTTGTCACTGTAAATGAATTGCGGAACATGTGGTGTTGGTAGTATTGGGGCCAAAAAATTTAATATATTGTAATTAAATTCATTACAAAGCTTCATTAACTAGTATTTATAATTCATGACACATTACCAGCAAGTGTATGTTTAAAGGATACATTCTTGTTTCTATTTAAATGTTAAGGACCAAACTATAGGAAAGATAATTGGATCGCGTATACAGAGCATTTTTGAAATAGAAGCTTTATTTCGAAGGGGTAATAGGGGACGTAGAAATTAACAATTCATTAAATATTGTGTGATCTAAAATGTCATATTTTCAAGATAAAAAAATTGTCAAATCGAAGATAATTTTGTGTAGAGTGCACATATCGCCTTTCGACACTTTGCTAGGTAAAATGTTTGATTGATACACCGCTGGGACTGAAATTAATTTAACAATAATAGAAATAAATTTGCCATACATTGAAATTACGTAATTTTACAAAAATTGCTCGTAATTATTTCCATAAGCTTCTAAACATGGTTTTGTGCGATGGTGAAAATTATCTCGCATGCGTTTTCAGGCATCTTTTTAGTTCATTGTCCATAGCAAAAATACGGTGTTGAAGATCAGAGGTATCGATAATAGGCCTTAGGTACATATTCTATTTCTTACATCCCAAAATGAAAAGCTCTAAATCTAGAGAATTTATGTCGGAAAACGCGGTACCAATTTTGTACTTCCAGGTCCATTGCGTCCTATCTATCACATATGTTGAAAACGGGTATGTAAACAGAACGTCATCTGATAAATCAGGAAGGGTATTTATTAAATATTCTAAATACGCGGCACCATTTAAACATGGAAATAACAATTAATTGATCCAAATAAGTTGTCACCAAGAACCTCACACTACAGATCCATTGCTGCTGGAAACTAGAATTCTGCACAACGTGAAGATTAGCTTCTCATCAACAGTGAGTGTTATGAAAATCAGTATTTTGTCTCTTGTAAAGCTTCATTCACATAGGATTAGTGCGGTTGCATTGGTACTGCAGAAAAGCTCTTAATATGCATTGCAATAGTGACGTTCAGATAAACTTCACAGTAACGCCGTTGTACTGCAATTGGTACGGCAGAAGCTAGAAGCGTTTAGCTTTTACCAATCCGTTACCACCAGTAGTACAAGGACCAATTATTAGACAACAGCATTTTGACAGAACACCACATAACATACAATACAGTAGATAATATTTATACCCTACGAGTACAATGCAACAGTACAATTGCAGTGCTTAACGCTTATCTGAACGTTACTTAAATCAGCATTCGTCTGTGGAGGATACAGTGTTTGTATAATTTGGTTGCTGCCAAAAGTGCCAAATACAACGACACAACTATACGCTTTTGTGAATCATTTGTCATCAGAGCTGCACACATAGTACTTGAATGGGATGCAGTAACTGCACCCGCAAAACACGCCACACAACAGTATTTGAAACATCTGCAACATGCTGATATTGCGGCTTGGGTTTTTCTCAACAAGGTGTAAAGTGTCTTCCTTATCTAAAACACGTTGCTGTCTTTTTTGTCTACTACCTTCAGACGTACCACGTGCCTCGCCGTGCAAATAACCACACTGAACTTGACCTGTAATGTAAACAGTCGATGAGTTGATTAAGGGCGATGAAGGGTCGGCATTTGTTTTGTGTAATACTTCTTAATCAACCTTCTAGAACACGTCACAATAGATCACTTGTTGCTTAAAGAAAATTGTTTATTTTCACATCCTTAAAGGAATGCACTTATTTCGGAAACATCCTGTATTTAGGAATATATTTTATCTTTGAAAAATAATGTTTTACATAAACTTCATCAGTTAATTTGACTGATGGATATCAAATGCTTGCGCCATGTGGCGCGACCATACGTTTTGCTATTGTTTGAAGGAAACATTTGGTAAACAAACTCACTCTGATTACGCTGGAATTTATTTTCATTAGGGGCCTTTGTTAGAAACAACTCCAGTCGCGTAAGCACCGAAAGAAATGTTTTATTGTGGATCAGTCGTCGCTGTATTACATAAACGTAAACCAGTAGGTAGTCACAGTGACATTTAAATATGTTATGGGGCGCTAGTCGCTAATTTTCGCATAGCTCAGCCTGTGAAGGCATTACAATAAACTTCTGCGGAATGCGTATAAACCTATAAAATTAGTAGTTGTTTTGAGAGCCCATTTCTTTTGCCTCCGCGGCGACGTGAAGCAGGAAGAGCCGGGTTTTGGCGTCGACTTAAATTTAGACCAACGTGTGCATCCACTTGTTCTTATTAGCTTTGATTTCTTTTTTTCTTCCAGCTCGTCTTCTCATCTGGCCGGTTGTTTGTGTCTGCTGGGATCACGGCACTCTAGACGTAAAAATGATTTATTACTGCAACGCTGAAATTTTTGCTGAAATTACACACTCGAATTTTTACATGACCCACAATTTGTGCAGTCGATATCTAGTAAAGAGCTTATTGCGGGTATAATGCGATGGACGGGCTCTAATTGTTGTTTCCACTATATACACTCTACATTATGCTTTTATGGTACATACGGATTAGTAGGTCGCTCTCTGCCAGTAGGTACCAGTACTTGGTGAATTTTTGATTTAGCTATAAATCGTTATTATTTAAAAATTTTTGATAAAATTTAGTATTGGCCCATTTTGGGGGGTCGTGAATCCAGTGGCGTAAATAACTTTTTTCTCAAAAAATCCCAAATATGAAATAATAGAATTTTACTCCTAAAAGCGGACGTAGTACGCCTTGAATTTTGTGGGATGACGCTCATTTTCCTTCATCAAGTTCTACATCTTAAAAAATCCGGTTAAAATCACACAAAAAAAGATTTTGAAAGGTTGGCTTAAAAACAAATGGGTCACACTGTATATTTTTTATTTTATTTTCCTGTTTTTATGTGGATTAAAAACTTTTTTAAACTGCACACTTGAAAAGTACGTAGTAGGATAGATTTAGGACTACTCTATAGGACTTTAATCTTAAGACAGTTTTTCATGATGACCTAATTTATTTTTTCAATTATCTTTTGACCATACATATTTTTTTGAAATAGTAAAATGCAACCTAATCCTGAATTGAATTGACAAATATATTTTCTCCTTTTTTTTCAGTACAAGCCCCAGCCAACTTCAAGAAGTCACTCTGGACCAGGATGTGACCTTTTCAAGTAAGTGCATTAAAAACATCTGGTTTTTATATAGACTTCCAGCACATTATATATTAACTTTTTGAAATGATTCCAATCTATAAAAATTGAAAAATAAGTAACGATACACTGCTAAAAGATGCGGATGACGTTATTACTGGATTTATATTTGAGACGCATAAACTTTTATAGTATTTGATGTCTGCCATGCACAATTTAAAACTATATTTATTTATTTTTATTTTTTCAAGTTGAAATTAATAATTTAATGTTTGATTTCTCTTCAGGGAGTCAATTAATCTGTTATTCTCAACGCTGATTTGTTAAATAAATGAGAGTAATAGTAACCTCAGGTAAAAAGAATATTGTTTTTTTTTTATAATGAGGAAATATATTTATTTTTTAATATGATCAAAATATGAACATTTTAACATTTATATTCAAAAATTATAACAATGCTTTTTTTACTTTTTTTTTAATAGGATGACATGGTAACAAATAATACTGCAATACATAATACTACATGAATGTGTCAGCTTTATTACAAGAAGGTTGTTGCACCGTTTTGTTGACTATTCATGTAGTAGCTACTTCCAATAAATTTAATTTCAAATCACTTAATTGTAAAAAAACTTATTGAAAATTATTATATTTTATCAGAATTTAGTAATAAATAGTTCGTACCTAAAAATATATTCTCTTGAATTTATATAAAAAAAAACTTTAATGCTTACAACCATTTTCGTCTTATTTGTTTATACTAGGCCATACTAATATTTGCAGTACATGGTGTCTATGTTTCTCAAAACATATTGCAAATGTAATCAATTATTTTTTATTTTCTTCTGATTAATATTTTATTAAGAATTTTATTCTTAGTCCAGTTGGTAGAGGTTCGGCCTGTGTCAAACTTTGATAACCCGGAAATAACTACACAGGTATACTTTAAATGACGAGTACAATAACAGGCTAATTTGCTGACATAGTATTTTATCAGCAAGTTATTAACAATTTAATAGTGAAAATTTTTTTTTGGTAGTTTTCTTTAAATAACTCAGCGGGATGACTCTGTACGAAAAAAAGCTTAGGGCATGATTTTGTTCGTAATAAAAATAGCTACAAAATGGCGGTGGTCTGATTACGAAATTTGCAATAACAAAGCCGTGAGATTGGAAAAACGGTATAAAACGTCAATTTTTTAAAGTTGATGTGAAAATGTCAATTATAAACAAAAAGTGATAAAACTTTCGAAAACTATAGTTCAATATATATACAATAATGACGCTAAAGCCGAAAATCAGGAGAGCAAAACTTTTTATTCTATAAGGCATCTCAAACTCGAAACTTTGCCAAATTTGTTCGAAGCTTTGCTGACACTTGAAATTTGGTACACACATAGTGTAAATATGCAGAAACCAAAAGCAATTTGCAAAATTCAAGTATCTTAATTTTTGCAGTTTTGGTAAGGTTTTGTACGTCACCCTAGTTTTATACGTCACAGTTTTTTTAATTTTTGGACGTATATTTATGTATATTTATAAAATATTCCATTACGGTAGATTTAACCAACATAATTACTTACAATTTAAAAATATATATATTTTCATAGTTTAGATCCTAAGCTACTTAACATTTTGCGCCTGTTAGCCGTAGTCGTACATTATTCAACATATCAACATAAAACAAAAACGTACGTGTGGGGTAAACCTTTAACTTTAGGTAAACAATTGTTTAAATTTACTGTTGCAATAGTATACAAGCGCCGAAGAGCGGAGCTCGCGCTCGAAAATGAAAAGTTTAAGGGTTACCCCACACGTACCATTTTGTTTTATGTTGATATGTTGAATAATGTACGACTACGGCTAACAGGCGCAAAATGTTAAGTAGCTTAGGATGAAAATTATTAATTTTTTAATTGTAGGTAATTGTGCTGGTTAATCTACCGTGATGATTCATATATATTTTTCTAAAAATTAAAAAAACTGTGTCGTATAAAACTAGGGTTATGTATAAAACCTTACCAAAACTGCAAAAATGAAGATACTTAAATTTTGCAAATTGCTTTTGGTTTCTGCATATTTACACTACGTGTATACCAAATTTCAAGTGTCAGCAAAGCTTCGAACAAATTTGGCAAAGTTTCGAGTTTCAGATGCCGATGGATGTATAAAACCTTATAGAACAAAAAGTTTTGCTCTCCTGATTTTCGGCTTTAGCGTCATTATTGTATATATATTGAACTATAGTTTTCGAAAGTTTTATCACTTTTTGTTTATAATTGACATTTTTACAGCAACTTAAAAAAATTGCCGTTTTATACCGTTTTTTCAATCTCACGGCTTTGTTATTGCAAATTTCGTAATCGGACCACCGCCATTTTGTAGTTATTTTTATTACGAACAAAATCATGTCCTAAGCATTTTTTCGTACAAAGTGACCCCGCTGAGTTATTTAAAGAAAACCACTAAAAAAAATTATCACGATTAAATTGTTAATAACTTTTTTTCCTGATAAAATACTTTGTCAGCAAATTAGCCTGTTATTGTACTCATCATTTAAAGTATTCCTGTGTAGTTATTTCCGAGTTATCAAGAAAATGTCACCAACAGTAACTTTTCGGCCTCTGCCGCTGACAACGTATTAAACAGTTTATTTATCGGCCATAAGAAAGAAGTAACCAAGGGCGATTCTAATGACAAGTGAACATAAACCATATTTTTTATTGCCTGTGTTCTACGGAAATATAGTTTTAATAAAATCTTCAAAATTACATTTACATTAAAAACATTATACAAAAAATATGACATTTTATCAACTCTCCAAAATCATAAGCATTTCTACAATATTTCTTTTCCAGATGCCTTTGAGAAAAAGCAAAATTAACTTCAGAAAACTGAGATTTAATTTCAGTTTCATTTGAGTAATTTTCAGAATTATTTGTATTTCATATTCGTCAGTTCATTCACAATTTGTAAATTTGATTTCAGAAAAACTTCATTATATTTCAAAAAGCATAAATTGCTTTTCATAAAGCATCATTAATTGTTTGTTCTTGACCTTATCGACCGTATTCTACGAAGCCGTAATCAGTGCATAATCTAAGGGTTAGTTCTAACCGAAAAGGCAGTTCTTAAAAAAAAGTTTGTTCTAAAAGTTAAAAAGGGCAGTTGCAAAATTTGAGTATTAGAAGTAGACCTCCGTTCTTATTTGTTTGTATAAAAAAATGCGAGTCTGTTATTTGCACAAATCGAATTTTTCGGTCACTTTCTTTGAGCTAGCATAGGGTGATTGATTTTGGGTAATTCCTTAGATTATTCCCTGGCCCTAATATTTGAGCTACTCATATTATTTTATTGTTTGTTGGTATCTTTTGCCAAACCTAATTTGGCGGGAATTATAGAGTCGAACAACGATATGATAAAAATTATATGTAAAAAGTGTACCTCAAAAAAAGTGCGTCCCAGAAATAACGCAAAAAATTCGTATTTTGTTTTGTTTGTATGACGTCATCGACGAAATTTTTTAATTCAAATTTTTATTTTTCAAATTAAAACCGAGTCTTCCGAAATCTTCTAGTGGTTGGTTCTAATCGAGTCCCATAGCACCGCGACCTTATCAGGACCTTATCTGCTTCCTGGACACTCGCCCAGGATATGCAGAGAGGTTTCATCCGCCGAGTCGCATCCTCGGCAGACAGGACTATCTACAAGCTTTAGCTTGTATAGATGTTGCTTAAACTTACACTGTTTCGTTATAAGTCGCGTCACTTTCCCGAGTTGAATTTTATTCCTTCAAAGGACACTCCATAAGTTCCTTCGCATGGCCCTGGCCATGAAGCCCAGTATTTTCTGTGTCCTGACTCAGTCCATTTGCCGAGAACCCCCTGATCACGTTGGAAGATGCCATGGAAGAGCGCAGGACCAATGAACTCGGTTTCGGATCTCTTCCTAGCAAGTTCATCTGCTTACTCATTTCAATCAATGCCTTTATGTCCTGGCACCCAACACAGTCTAATTGGTAGCCAGTTCAGTCAGCATTTGTAAACATTTCCACGCAAGTTATGAATTTTATCTTGTGTGTCTAAAGCCTTAGTTGCAGCTAGACTATCAAGAGAATATGTATATGAGTTTATGACATCCGAAATACTAACAACTGAAATTTAGCTAAATATATGTAATTATTATTGTTACACTTGTAGTATTGCTTTTATAAGTCTTCGAGGCGACCGTCAATTTATCAATTTATGGTTAATTGCTTCAAGTACGTTTCACGTTACTTAAATAAATCCGTGTTGATTTTTGGTTGTTTTAAACTCCCTCGTGTTTACGTTTCAGGTCTAGGGATTAAAGATTAAGGACGGGGTGCACAAATCACCGCCGCGCGTTTCAAAAACTAATTTTTCAAACCGAAAAGTGATCTAATAGATCCATTAATAACTTCCTTTCCTCGAAAGTATAATGCCCTGCGACGTTTTGTCCTAATTATAAGGCTGGAGACGGGCACACCTCGTTATACGTAATTTGGCTTGCACTTTTTTAAGTCGCATTGTGTCGGTGCCGCGTCTTCTTTTAACCGCGTCAAAGTTTATTTTTAAAATATCAGCCATGTTCAGGTTTTGTACGTACAACGCTCATTGAGCTTCACAGTCATTTGTCTTTCACGCCGGGGGCTCAGATAAATCTTTTGAGATTTGGTAATCTTTAAGTTACACTTGTATCTACAATCCTAGTGACTTTTGAACTCTGATGAAATAAAATAAATCACCTGACGCTAATGTAGGGTATGCACGACCAATTAGGTATCAGAAATAGTATTTTTTATACGTGATGTTTCCAAAAGAGTTGCTTTTCTCTTAAATGTTATTTGCTGTAGAAGTTTATAATATATTTTAGTCCTTGGTGAATTATTTAATAATCGGTTTATTTTATTGAAAAAATAAATACATAGTTCATTACCTTTAAAGTAAAATCCTAAGCACCCAAAGATAAACGTTTATATTTAAATTTTGTCAAGTACTTTGG